TCCAGACTTCCAGGGCTCGACTGCGTTCGACAAAATGCTTCAACGGGCAACATTATGCCGGTCGACAGATCTATTGGCAGATGCGTTCGGAGAGTTGGCAAAACGCACGATTGCAGAATCTTGGGGCACGTCCTTCTATGAGTTGGGGGTTGAAACAGATGCGCCTCCTGCGCCTGGCGAGGTCTGGTCCGGGCGCAGGCTTCAGGTTGTAATCGCGCGCGTGCCATTCTTCAGACCTGCAACGGCATGGGAAGACGGAATATGGAGAGAACGCCCCCCGCCGCGCGCCGAGTCGCCCCCATGTGATGATTTGTCACCCGCTGGACAAGGATGGGAAACATGTTCCTAACATCTTCTGCTTGCAGTTGGTCCGCGTCGGCCGCGCACTGCCCGATGTCGCTTAGGGCGCGGGAGATGGGGGGGCGAAGGCTACCGGGGCGCCCGCGCAGCTTTCGAAGCTGCATCTTTTATTTTTCTTTGTTCTTGGAAAAAATCAGACGAGGGCTCGAACACATTGCCTGGAACATGTGCGCCGCAGGCTTGAACGCATCAGGCAATTCGCCAAGCGCTATCAACCGTTGCAACTGCCTGCGCGATTGCATCACGCGGCGTCGGCTTCAGTCTATCGCAACAGCTGCCCAATGATAGACGGGGCCTCTCGCTGATGTCTTCGAATTCGGCTGAGTGCCGAGACGCATGCAGCACGGCTCTTCCGAACAAGTTTCACAATCGACATGGGGCGGGTCATCTGTTTACGAAGTGGTCAACGCCTCGAGCGCGCGTTCCTTCCAAGCGCGTGGAACGAGATTTGGCGCGGAGGAAATTGCAGGGCGATGCCGCGAAAGAGTTGGAATCATCGAACAGCCGACGGGGGAACCTACAGTGCGCAGCCTCGATGGAGCTTCTGGGGAATATGCTCCACCTGCATCGTTCCGCACAGAAGCACAGCCGCACTTTGTCAACAAAGGCATTGCAAAGCGTCGTTGCTCAGGCTGCCTCCATCATAGGCGCAACAGGGGCCCCATAACACGTGATGGGTTTTCTCGGCACAGACATAGGTGATATTATAGACAAAGGCGAATTCGGCATGCCCTGGCCAAGAGCGCTGGCTCGGCGGCGTGGCCGCGAGGACCTCGATAACGACGTCGACATGTTCCACGTGGATGCACCGTCGGGCATAACATCGCACGCACGCCTAGTGGTCGATGACACAAGTCGCACAGCATGGCTGGCAGGGTCATACTTTTTTTCGACCGGGGCTGCACGTGCACGGGACAACGCACGGACCCCACACGATCACTTCCTCAGGCTGGCCCCAGGGCGAGGTGCACCTGTTGAGCTTGCATTTAGACAGGACGGCGTACTGATGGCAGAGCTCGCTGCGTTTTCTGAGCGCTACAGTCCAATAATTCTTTGGAGAGACAACGGCGCCTGCAACAACTTGTTTGCGTTGCTCGTTCCCCGGCCCCCTGGGAACCTTGATGCTGCCATGGGCGCGGAGGGCACCCGCGCGAGATGGCAAGACTTGCTAGGGATATTGGACATCAATATGCCGCCCATGAACGCATATCTAAGGCTACACCACAGGATAGCGAATGGGCGACCTGCCAACGATACGCGAATTGCGACCTTTTTTTTCAGTTGCGGCATGCCCAATGGCTTCAATATAGCGCAGACCCCCCTACAGGGGACGCTTCAACTTGACGGCGCACGACGTGGATTTATTGCGAGCACCGAATGCCGCCGCTCCATCCTGCAAGACACCTGAAGCCAGTGGGGCAATTTCGTTAGGGGGGTCAGGCTGGGGGCCCAAACCAAGCAGCCTGTTCCCAAAACATTCGGGCGATGCCATTGTAGTTCCCAGAGCTGGTCAGACTTCAGTTTTTGATAAGTTCAACGCTTAGTCTACCCAGTGCGTTGTCTGAGCATTTGTGTCTGGGTGGGTCCTTGTTGCATGCATTTGCTGATCTCTATGAGGGCGAGGAGCACGCGATGCGGATTGCCCCGCGCGCGCTGTCGGGCAAGTGGGCAACGGTGGACCAGGGGGCGGGGTCATCGCCAGATTCGACGGGCCCCCGGGGCTCGAAACCGAACACGTCGATCAAAACGGTGCGGTGCGGGGGCTCGGGAAACCGCATGGCACGCCAGGTGGCGCGGTGATTCAGCGAGTTTCGAGGGACGCCAGACCGATGGAATTCCGTATGTTGAGTATTGTTGAACGTGTTCGAACTGCTGGCAAGTGCGTCGACGCGACGCCAGGCGACACTGCTAGAGATATCGAGGTCAACCTAGAGGCCTGCATCGTGGACTGCGCACTTGTGAGGTATGAGCACCCCCGTTTACATGCGTCGGACGACCATTTCGACGGCGACCCCGTTGTCTTTGAATTGACAGCCTCTGCTGATGCAGAGGAGGTTTCTTAGGCTTCAAAGTCCGTCGGTGACCGCGCGAAAATGGCACCCGCGGAGCGTTTGGAAATTGTCCAAACGGGCGATCGCGTGACGTCGTGGGGAAACTTGTCCAAAGCAGCTTTGTCGGTCGCAGCTGATCCGGCATATGTGCCACCCCCTGCGCCATTG